CGACCGCTGAGACCCGTCCAACTACAGGTCCATCGCCGTCACCTCCTTGTTCTCCAAAATAATGGAGTCCATTGTAAACTGCCAGTTCATGAGGTACCTTGAGGATCACCAGTTGATTAGTGATCACCAACACGGTTTTCGTCTTGGTCGATCAGCTGGTGATCTTCTGGTCTACCTGACTCATAGACGGGGGGCGGCAGTAGAGTCCAAAGGGGAGGCATTGGCCGTTAGTTTGAACTTTGCGAAGGCCTTCGATCGGGTTTGGCGCAAAGCGCTTCTTTCGAAGGTGCCTTCATATGGGCTGCCCGAGAAATTGTGCAATTGGATCACTAGCTTTCTTGCAGATCGGAGCATCAAGATCTTTATAGACGGTGCAAGCTCCGATTACAAGCCTATTAATGCTGGTGTTCCACAAGTTTGCGTGTTATCACCAACGCTGTTTCTTCTGCATATCAATGATATGTTGCAAACCGGCAACATTCAATGCTATGCAGATGACAGCACTGGTGATGCTCTGTACACCGGCCGTGGCAATATTTCTCGGGAAAACGTCTCCGAGTACCAGGACAAACTTGTGTCTGAAGTCGAGTCTTTGCTGAACAAAGTCTCGGATTGGGGGCGATTAAATCTAGTCCAGTTTAACCCTCAGAAGACACAAGTTTGCGTGTTAACCGCTAAAAAGAACCCCTTTGTCGTATCTCCTCAGTTTCAAGGCAATCCTCTTGTTGCCTCAGCCGGTATCAGAATCATCGGAATCGACATAACGAGTGACGTGCAGTTTCGTGGTCACTTGGAAGGCCAAATTAGCCTCTAAAAAGCTTGGCGTGCTCATCATAGTGGAACAGTATTTCATGCCGGCACACCACCTACAACTTTACAAGGCGCAAGTTCGGTCGCGCATGGAATACTGTGCCCATCTCTGGGCTGGGGCTCCCCAGTGCCAGCTACTTCCACTTGACCGCATCCAGCGCGGAGTGGCCCGAATCATCGATGACCGAGTGCTTTCCGATCGGCTCGATTCACGGGCGCTGCGAAGAGATGTTACATCTCTTTGCGTATTTTATCGCATCTATCATGGGGAGTGCTCTGAGGAATTGTTCGGATTAACGGGATTAACCCGCCAAATTTCATGAATGCACTACGCGGCTTAACTCCCGATACCATCCACACCATCTGGATGCTTGGCGGTCCACCACTGTACGTTTCTACTCTCTGTGGAATAGTTTACCGCCGGCGATTTTTCCGGACCGATACGACCTTTAAGAAAAGAGCTTACTCCTTTCTAAAGGGTCGGTAACGCACCTGCAATTCCTCTGGTGTTGCGGATGTTCATGGGCGGCGGTAGTCACTTAACATGAGGTGAGCTGTATGCTCTTTGCCCCCTCTTCTGAAAAAAAAAATTAAACCTAAACCGGGAGTCATCGGTGAACAGCACTAAAGAACATTGTAAATGCTCCGAGCCCACGTAACCGACCGCGATAGCCACGTCGCAATGCTGGAACACGAAGCGGTCTTTGAGCATGAAGACTAACTTCATGCAACCTCCATCTCACGCTTTTCTTGCTTAGTTGCATCGCTGTCATACTGGGTTGTCTTCTGGCGGCCATTTGAAGAAATCGATTCTGTCTGCGTAGTAACACGATGTCTACCCGTGTGGCGTTCAACCACATCCCCAGTACTGCGATAACGTGACCACAACCTTGATATTACGTTTTGGCTGGTGTGTAGGGCCTCAGCAACGACGCGTTGAAGAGCACCATTTTCTAACATACCCATGGCTCGTAACGTTTCGTCTCCACTCAAATGACGACATGACTCTTAAAGCTTATACGGCACGTTAAATTAAAAAACAAAAACAATCTAATCCCTTTTCATGAATTAATCAGTAGAACAATTTTAATTTTCCTTGGCGTTACGAATTACTAACAATTTTGCCGCCGTGTTTTGTTTTTCCTTTTTTTTATATTTGCATTTTTAAATTTTAGGAATGGAATACAAGAGGTTTCAACCTGTATATAAACTTTTTATGGAAACTAAAAAGATTTTCAACTATATAGTCGTAAATAATTAAGGATTAAGGTATCCCTTGACTCTGTTGACGTGTTTAAGTCTTTATAACCATCCCGTTTAGGTACTACTATTGTACGACGTATTGACGATTAAAGGAAATCCTTAATCGTCAATACGTCGGGTTACACGCGGGTTTTATGGATCTTTTTGTTTGACCTATGTAAGAGAGACCACATTCACAATCTAACTTGTATACTCCTGCATCTTGTAGAGGGATTATACACTTGACGGATGATAAAAATTGACTAATCTCCTTCGGCGGCTTCGACTGTGTCACAGTCGAGCGTGTACCTGCTGTACTATCATATGTCAGAGGAGTCACAGACAAGGTTGGCTACATCTTGAACCGAGCTTCCATTAAATCATACTACAAGCCGCCGAAGAAGATTAGTCAATTTTTTTTCACCATCCGTCAAATGTAATATCCCTCTACAAGATGCAGGAGTATACAAGTTAGATTGTGAATGTGGTCTCTCTTACATAGGTCAAACAAAAAAGATCCATAAAAAACCCGCGTGTAACCCGACGTATTGACGATTAAGGATTTCCTTTAATCGTCAATACGTCGTACAATAGTAGTACCTAAACGGGATGGTTATAAAGACTTAAACACGTCAACAGAGTCAAGGGATACCTTAATCCTTAATTATTTACGACTATATAGTTGAAAATCTTTTTAGTTTCCATAAAAAGTTTATATACAGGTTGAAACCTCTTGTATTCCATTCCTAAAATTTAAAAATGCAAATATAAAAAAAAAAGGAAAAACAAAACATGGCGGCAAAATTGTACAAGTTAGATTGTGAATGTGGTCTCTCTTACATAGGTCAAACAAAAAGATCCATAAAAACCCGCGTGAAAGAACATATAGCTGACGTGAAGCACCGACGCTCCGGGAAGTCTGCAGTCTGCGAACATGTTCAAGATCGTCCCCACCATTACATTCGATTTGATAAACCACAAATCCTCGCAAAAGAACACCGATTCATACCAAGGATGATACGCGAGGCTATTGAAATTAAAAAACATCCAAATTTCAATAGAGAAGATGGATGGGTGCCTCCACCTGCTTGGGATCCTATAATTAACAAAATTAAACCCAAACCTAAGCATACCACTGCACCCCCCCGAACGGGTTCCCGCCTTGTCGTGGCGGGGGGCTTAGAAGCCGTGGCTTGGTCACCCACGGCGAAACAAAGAGGAACCCATATGGCTGGTCCAAGGTGGAGGGCCGGCCCGAGGTGGCCACTCCGAGTGGGCTTGGGGAGCCCACTTCGGATGTGTGTTGGTGGACTGCGGTGAGAGGTGTGTCCTCCCCACCTACCGCTGCAGCCGAGGTGGAGTCGCGGAGGAAGAGGAGTGTTGGTATGGCGATGCGCCACTCGCCCTATCCTCCGCGACTCAAACGGGGCCGCACCGTTGATGCGGTGGTGGTGGGGCTGCGGGGGGAGAGGATTGTCGGTATTGCGAGGCGCCGCTCTCCCTACCCTCCGCAGCCGAATATTGGTTGGCGGCGGAGCCATAGACCAGATCCGCCGCTGGGGTCGGGAAGGCTAGTACTTCTAAGTGCTTGTTTTTCCTGGCCCCATGGCCTTCTTGCATTGGACGCGGGGGCGTCCGTTGCGCAGATGTAATTAGAGGCCGAGAAGGAAGGCGCGCCATGTGTTCTGGTGCGCCTTACCTGTGAAGGAGAACGGGGTGGAATATTCCGCTCCCGAGGAGGTGCTGCCATGGGGCGGCAGGCGCTGGTGGGGCTGCGGATGTGTGCGAAAGCGTTCCCGTGGCCCTGCCAATAGCGACAAAGGTGGAACACCATGGGGTTTTAGTCGGTGCGAGTTCGACATAACCCGTCCTTGCCCCCGCGAGGCGGGTATGCGTAGGCATTTCCCCATGTACAAAAAAAGAAAAAAGCATACCACTGCAAGACTTCATGATACTATAAGCTCGTTTTGCGTAAACCGGACCAAAAATTAATATTCAAATACTGAAGGTAGCCGGACTAACTATGACATTGGGACGTCAAACATCTCAGTCCCCGCCGTGACCATGGGTGCTGTAAAGCACCCGAAACGTCGGGAATTAAAAATAAGTAAAAGTAGTGAAATAAACGGGATAAAATCCGTAAATTTAGTTTTATTCAAGGATAAATGTAGATGTCTATGGGCAACAGCATCCACTTATCATCGGGTGGACTGTGTACTTGTTAGTCACCCTTATACTATAAAAAAAAACATATTTAAGCCACCTTCTGTAGAGACTCTCGGTCCGTGGGGTCAGTCTCTTCATATTAAGGTTGACTCACGCTAGACCGTGTCGCGTCCGAGCCGAGTGTCGCCCGTAGCACGGTCACCGAGCCGGTCCCGTGATTGAAATTACAAACACTTGCCTTAAAATTAACATTATACGCACATTAAAGAGAAGAAAGTAAGATAAGATCTACAATTGTTTAATTCAGAAATCAATAATCCGCCGCGATCGCCGACAGTAACGGTTTCGTGCACTCCTAGTTTTAAAAAAAAATAAAATGTGTCTAGTGTTTAAACTTACTTAAAATTAATATCAATAGATGCAGTATTTTATTGGTGTTCGAGTGGTTAAATCATTCAGTGTTTTCGTGATAAATTGTGATAGAAATACTCCAAAAAGTGTGAGAAGCACCGTAGTCATTTTTAAAAGTTGCAGTCAGTTGTTTATTTTGCAACGGGTATGCAATAAATTATAAGTCACTTACATTATTCAACGAACATTTATCTCCGTAAAGTGAATCGCTTATTCAAAGAGTATATCAGCGAGCAGTTGGCGCTATGGCTTACGCATTAACGCAACAAGAAAATAAGTATAAGAGGCGTTAGATCGAATCCCAACGGTTGAGGTCTTTTTTAACTTTATTTACAAAAATTACTTAGTTTGAGATTAGCAAAACAATTAATATGAATTGCTCTGCCTGCAATAAGAAGCTACTTCGCACTGATCGCTACTTAGCATGTAATCACTGTCGTTCAAAATATCATATTGAGTGCCTAAATTTAAGTAAAGAACAATTTACGGCTTTGACTACTGAATATAAATCAAAGTGGATGTGTCCATCTTGTAGTAATATAACTAAACGTAAACAATCGAATGTCAATACGCCTGTCCAACAAACGCTTGTACCACTCGTAGAGAAACCATTGAATTCGCCCCTTGAAAATTCAAGCTGTTCATCAACCGATTCCCAATTATTTTCCTCAAACGACGACAATCTCGTCACCATGGGTAAAATTAGTACCTTATTGGATAAAAAACTTAATAATTATCTATCGGATTTCGTGGAAAGTTTTAGAAAAGCATTGAAGGATGACGTCAAAAACCTAGTACAAGCGGAGATGGACTCAGTTGTGCAGCAGCTTAAAGACGATTTTACTGTAACCACTAACTTTATATGTGATGAACAGTCTTCCCTAAAGCAAGAAATTGAAAATAAGAGTCACATAATAAAACACCTAGAATCTGAAACTCTGCGATTTCAAAAGGAGATTAATGTTCTGACCAATCGTTTAACATCAATTGAAAAAATTTCCCGTAGCAAAAATATTGAAATTCAGTTAGTACCAGAAAGTCGAAATGAAAATCCAATGCTGTTATTCCGCAACCTGTGTAAAACAGTAAATATTCAAATAGATGATGAGAACATTCATTCTTGCCGTAGAGTTGCCAAATACGACATCTCCTCCGAACGCCCTAGAAATATTCTTGTAACTCTCATCAACCCACGCTTACGGGACCAAGTTCTCTCCGCATGTTATCGTTATAATAAAGCCAATAAAGACAATCCCTTGAATACCAACAACATCGGATTAAATTGCGAAAAGCGAAAAATTTATGTGACTGAACATCTTTCTCCGGAATGTAAGGCTCTTCATGCTGCTGCTAGAAATTTTGCAAAGGAGAATAAATATAAGTATGTATGGGTTAAGTTCGGACGTATATATATTCGTAAGGAGGACACTGCGGCCTGCGTACACATTAGAAATATTGAATGCTTAAACAAGCTGTCATAATATCACAATTTTTTTCTGTTGCTTATTTGGTTTATGTATTTGGGAATTTTAGTCTTGTATAATGTTAATTTATTATCAAAATGTTAATCGCTTAAGATCAAAAACAAAAGAGTTCTATCTTAATGTACTTAATAATGATTATGACATTATCTGTATAACTGAAACAAACTTAAATAGCACTATTTTTGACGGTGAATTCATTGACACTCGCTATAATGTTGTAAGGCGCGACAGATATCAATCAAATGCACGTAAATCTGAGGGCGGGGGGAATTCTAATTGCCGTTAAAAAAGAAATAAATTTTATTTATCAAGTTTCCTGGAATAGTGAGCTAGAAGACTTGTGGATCAGTATATTGCCAAAAGCCACTAATATTAAAATTATTAATATTTGTCTCTGTTATCTTCCGCCAGATCTGCCTTTAGACTGCATCGATAAATTTTTTACAAACTGTCAAAACGTAATTATGCGATATCGCAACACAGAAGAATTTCTTTGTATAGGGGATTTTAATATACCCGACGTTGACTGGTCTAAACCATCACAGTATAATTATATGATTCCTCTTCACCCGCGAGGTCAAAAAGCTAATCTGCTTTGTGATACCCTTAGAATATGTAACCTTGATAATTATAACAGTATATCAAATAACAACGGACGATTTTTAGACCTAATTCTTTTCAGTTCGAACAGCATTCAGGTTTATGAAGTGGAGCCATTGAGCCGCTTAGATAACCACCACCCCTCATTAGTTGCAGATATTAATCTTGTTGAAATAAACTCAAATAATTTTAAAAACAAAAACGACCAAATTTTTTCAAAAGCAATTATTCAAAAATAAATCTTGAATTAAAATCAGTTAAATGGCATAATATCTTGTCAATTCATAAAGATATTGATAGCATGACTGACGCATTTTACGCAGAGCTTAGGAATATTATTGCAAAACATACACCTATGACCAAAATTGACACAAACAACTATCCAGTATGGTTCACACCTGCTTTAAGGCAAAGCTTAGAAGAAAAACTAAAATATCATCGTCGTTTCAAAAAATATAAGAATCCTCGGGATTATGATACATTTTCCATGTTACGCAACAGATGTAAAAAACTTATTAAAAATGACTATAAAAATTTTGTATCGTCCGTCGAATCTTCTTTAGTTGACGACACAAAATTCTTTTGGCGTTTTGTCAATGACAAGAAAAATAATGCTAATAGCATTCCCAAAATGATGAAATATGGTAATCACACCTCCTCCGATGAAAAAGAAATATGTGAGCTTTTCTCTAATTATTTCAGTTCTGTTTTTGCAAACCCAGAGGAGACAATCTTACATTCTCACAATGAATTATCCAATCGTAGTAATTGTACCCTAAGTGATATCACAATCACACCAGACCACATACAGCAAAAGATCGCGAAATTAGACCAAAGAAAAGGCTCTGGACCAGATGGTATTCCTCCTTTATTCATTAAGAAATGCGGGAAGGAATTAAGTAATCCCTTGTGTATTATATTTAATGCATCCATTAAGGCAGGTATTTTTCCATCAGTATGGAAAATAGCTCATATTGTTCCGATTTATAAATCTGGCGACAGATCAAATTGCGAAAATTATCGACCTGTAAGCATCTTGTCTTGCCTTGGTAAATTGTTTGAATCATTGTTGTATGATTCTCTTTATAATTATATTCAACCTTTCCTATCGCTTCGACAACATGGCTTCATTATGAACAGATCGACGACTTCTAATTTACTTGAATACAAACACTATCTTTGCAGTGCTTTCGCCAAGAGAAAACAGGTTGATAGCATATATACCGATTTCTCAAAAGCATTCGATAGAGTAAATCATAATATCTTATGTATTAAATTAGCATGTTACGGAATACATGGGAGTCTGTTGAGATGGACTGAATCATACCTCAACAGGAGAAGTCAGTTAGTTACTATAAAAGGTTTCAAATCCTCACCCATTTCTGTGACATCGGGTGTGCCACAAAGGTCCCATTTAGGTCCTTTATTTTTTATTACGTTTATTAACTATCTCATTAATAAATTGACATGTCCATGCCTGTTGTATGCAGATGATTTGAAGATATTTTCCGTTATTGATACACTCAGCGATTCGTTCAATCTTCAGTCGAATTTAGACTCCATTCATAATTGGTGTAAGGAAAATCTAATACATCTGAATACGAGAAAATGTTTTGTGTTATCATTTAGTAACAAGAAGCACAGACTTACATTTTAGTATAAAATAAATGGACAGGTACTTGATAGAAAATCCGTAGTTAAGGATCTTGGAATGCTGTTTGATGAAAAGCTTACGTTTCGCGATCATTACGATCATGTAATATCTAAAAGTACAAAACTTCTTGGCTTTATTTAGAACTGCAAAGACTTTTAAAAATCCACGAAGCTTTCTTATTTTGTACTGTTCCCTAGTACGCAGTATTTTAGAGTACAACATAATTATTTAGTTTCCATACTACGCTGTCCACGTAGATCGTATTGAACGTCTTCAAAAGAAATTTCTATCAATCCTCTGCTATAGGTACGGTTTAAATAGAAGTCTGCCCTACTATGAAGAGAAACTAAAAAAGTTTAACATTATGTCACTACAAACTCGGTGTAAATATCAGGATATGACTTGCCTTTTCAAAATTATTCATTCTTTTCCCCCACCCTCCTTTCATTTGTCAAGATTAATACTAAGCCCCATCGTCGGTATACTTTCCTAAATACTTTTGCTTTGCAAGTTTATAGAAATAATACGTCCTATTACAATCCTCTTGTAAGAATGTGTCGCCTATATAATGACTTATTGATTAATAATAGTAAAAATATAGATATTTTTAATAACAAATTAAACAATTTCAAAAAATCTGTATTAGATATATTTTGTAAATAAGGCATTCAAGGCTTAAAATTTAAATTTAAATATGTAGGTTAATGAACATTATTTTAATAAAGATTTAATTTTTCAAAATTTTCCACAACATAAGTTCATAAATATAGTATGTTCATAAGTAAGGTTTTAATTATTTGTGCTGTATAATCGTTACCGTTACTTAATATCATGTTGTGTGCACATGTTTTGGAATACCATCCAGATTGTAACTTTGTATTTATTATTTTCATGTTTTGGTGTTATTCTGTTTTGTGTACCTAAATAAATAAATAAATAAATTCAATTAAAGAACACATTTTAATTATATTACAGTTACAATATTACCTGGAACTTTACTAATAATCCCTGTCATAATCTATCTTAATCAAATGGATACTGGTTGAGCTCAGTTTATGGCCATTAGCCAAATAGTCTCACGGTATATAATATATTCCGTGGATTGTCTAGTTCTACTCCACTGTCATCTCATTGGTTAGTTCTTTCGACACTCAAACGATTAGGTATTACACAAAAGTGTCCTGCACTATTTTTACTCAATCCTGCCTAATGGATTTTGCATTTGAATGCAGAAGTGTCTTAAACTTTTTAAGAAGCATTTTATATTATATTTTAATACATTTATGGCTTGCATGCAGCCATAACTCGCGAATAACAAACATAATTATCGGTCACGCGAGTGTAATAACTCGACGCCGCAAGAAATAATTTTCCTTAAATCAAAAAGTACTTATCGAAATTAGGTTGCAATGTTTCCAGCCAGTTCGTGTTGACTTCCTCGAACGCATTCAAACGGGACTAAGATAATAAATCGAGGATAACCGATGCGCCTTGATAAGTTTTGAGTTATGAAAAACGACGACGCGTAAACTACACGGTGCGTCAATCAGCAGCGAGTGCGAAAGAATCGAATTTCGAAAAGGAAGCGATATAAAACCATGTTCGTTTTCGTTCTGAAGGCTATTGACCTCGTTTTTCTATATTTTATAATATGTACTTATCTCGTTTCTGAATATAATTACATGATATTCTTTTTTTAAATGTTATCCCCACACTAGAATTTTCTCCTGTTTCGTGGAGACAGTTTACACCTATTATATTTCACAAGGAATAACAACCAAGCCCGGACCAAATATTTGTGAAGGGCGGGATTCGAACCCGCGGGCCTCAGTGATATAACTTATTGCTTAGCCACTGCACCCCAGAACTGTTATATTAGTATATTTTAGTACATGTTTTCACCTAAACCTATTATATGCATTTTGACCGACTCGTCGTTCTAGTACTTGTAAGCAAAGACTGTTGATCCTGTGGTCCTGGGTTTGAAACCTGGGTCGAGTTTAAATTCCTTATTAGACTTTTTTGTCAAGATTTTCTCAGTAGTAGCAGAGAGTCAACAAATTGGTGGTGCATCCAAATCCATGGTCCTGCGCCTGAACTTTGTCCGGCCGGGTCGGATCGCTGTCGAGAAAATAACAAATAAGAAACCTATCGGGATTTTTCGTTAAAGATTTATTTACAATATTTTATGGTGTACAATTAATTTGAAAACAATTAGAAACAGCATGGTGGAGATCATTACATATTACATATACGAATATTGCACAAAGCACAAACATTCAGACTCGGAATAATTTTATATATATATATACATATATATGTATAATATATATATATATATATATATATATATATATATATATATATATATATATATATATATATATGTAGCGCTGCAACTTAAAGTTAAAGCGAAACGAACACACAGTCCACCTGATGGTAAGTGGTTGCGGTGGCCTATAGACATCTACATCTATCCTCGATTACGAATCAAAACGCAGATACGTTGTCACCCCTGAGGACTAAGATGGAATGCCTCGTTTCCACTAAAAAAGGCTCTCCGGATCTCTACACTCACCGTCCGAAACACAGCAGTATCAACCTGGTATTTTACGCTGGTATTCTGTGACGGCGTGGTCCTTTCACGGTCTAGTTGACCCATTCGTGCTACAAGCTTAATATGCGGCAGCGTGGCTCTATAGAAAGCCACGTATAGAAACTCTAAATAAATTAGGCACTGATGTATTATCATTACTAAATACTATGCTGATTTTTTATAGAAAAAGCCCCATGATGGTAAGTGGATTCTGTGGCCCATAAACATGACATGAACAAAACTAACATGCATCCCGTAATCATACTGGTTCTACTGCACAAACCAAAATACAACAGTGAGAACTGCCTGACGGCAGAAATAGGTTGAACCAACCAACGTAGACGAGAAGCCTTCTCTCGTTAAGATTGTGAGCTCGTGTTCTACTAAAAATAAGTCTCGTACTACAATCACCGCGACTAAGGAACCGGAAAAAAGATCCATTTGTATTACAACTGACGTCGTGCCATATTTTTTTCGTGGTAAAGCCATGCTGCAGCTATATTACTGGTGTTGTTGTAGCACGAATGGGTCGGCTCGACCGGGGAAGGACCACGCTCTTACAGAATACTAGCAATAAAAAATAGCAGTTTAACGCTACTGTGTTTCGTATGATAAGTGTACAGAACCGGACAGCCTTATTACAGGAAACAAGGCATTCCATCTTAGTCCTCACTGATGACAAGTCACCTGCATTTTGATTCGTAATCGAGGTTAATGTAGAAGTCTATGGACTACAGCAACCACTTAACGTCAGTAAAAATACCTTATCTAAACGTTGCTAGGTTTTAGTTGGTGAAGTTTGGTATAACCACGTCCTCTTTAGTCCATAAAGTCCTTCGCTGGCAATGGATCTCCTCTGTAGTATACAGGATTTGCCTTAGGGCCCACTGAAGGCGGCACTCTTGCTTCGGTGACAACATAAGCTGAGCGAGGAGGCTTTTAGGCCGGCAACGCACCTGCAGCTCCCCTGATCAAGCAATTATTCATACATGAAAGTCAACACTCACCATCAGTTGAGCCGCATGCCCTTTTACTCCCTCATCTATAAAAAAATGAGATCCGTTTGCATAACGCTCTTCAACACATATGAGGAACGTATTTTAACTTACTTTTGTTATTATACAGATATTATTTTTATTCAAGTTGTTGTTTTTTTTTTTAATTTTGTTACACCTTTTCATATAAATACATAAATTTATAATGTTTATGAATATTTAATTATGTATATGTTACCGTGTAGTTGCGGTGTAAGGATATCCACTACCCCATATCATACCGTGGGTGTCGGAAGAGGCGACAGGAGGAAATGAATCAGGAGATAGGCAGCAGTCTTCGTCATAATAACTAAAAATAAAAAAATAAAAACTGCGGCTGTCAACCCGCTTGTGGCAACTATGACAAATGTCTCCCCTATGAGGCAATCTATGGAGGAGGCTTATGTTCAGCAGTGGACTTTAATAGATTGTAACGGTAACAGTAAGAGCCATTAAATATATCATTCATTTCCCATGGTTGCATCCTCCGACACCCACGGAACGAAATGAGATCCTCTTGCGTACACTACACGGCAATCTCTTCCTCTCTCCAGGAGACAACCGATACCGGATAACAACCGATATAAAGAAGTGCCGTGGTGTGCCGCGACAGAGGGAAACAAATCAGGAGATGGGCAGCAGCGGCTTCCTGATAACGACTATAAGTAACAACTATGCCGAAATATCCCCACTGTGAGGCAATCTATGGGGGAGGCCTGTGCTAAACAGTGGACTTTAGTACCCTGTAATGATATGAAGAAGTACGAAAGTACGAAGTATTATGCAAGTCAGATGCAAACAAAACAGATAAAAAAATTAATTTCGTTCGCGAATTTTGCAGGGTAACAGCGGCCCACATAGCGGGACATCGCCGTGGTGTGAATCAAGCCGCACTGGCCGCCTCTTCCATCATCGTCCAACCGTGAAACCAAAATAGGGTTGCCAATTTCTAGTTATTTTTCAGTTCAGTAAATTTTTTTAAATTATCGAACTTAACGATAGTAATATTCATTATTTTTATTTTATTTTTGGTTCATCTTTATGTTTTTTATATGGAAAGTCTTTTTTTATTAATTCAGTGTTTGAATAAATAATTTTGAAATATAGTACATGTTTTTTATAGAAACAATGTTGAATATATACCCAAATTTATTATCAATTAAGAATCGAAACGCGGATGACCCCTGAGGACAACTTAGAAATCCTGATTACCAATAAAGGTGTCTCCGATTTTCGTAACTCACCATTTTTCATAAAGCAGCCTTATACTGTCATTCTATTCTATTCCATTACATTCTTTTCACTGGTCAAGTTCATCCGTTGACCGTACCAGGTAGGAGCCGTCATATAGCCCTCTAAATGAACAGGATATCCGGGATGTCATAAATTTGAAAAATAGGTATGTAATTAACTTAATTATATAATTTTTAAAGCCCTATTTAATATTTTTTATTTATAAAAATGATACTCCACACTAGAATTTTCTCCTGTATACATACATAAATTTACATTTACATACATAAATTTTGAAATAATAAGTACCTAGACCCGGAACAATTATTTGTAGGCCACACAAATACACTTGTTACGTGCGGGATTCGAACCCACGGCCCTTTACGCTGCAGCTCATTGCTAAGCCACTGCACCACGGAGCCATCAATACATAATAAATAAAATTAATACGACATTACCATTTGTTATTTTTCGCAGCCCTACCTAACAAGGAATCTGTTGTAATCGCAGGCCGGTATATAAGCGTGTCCTTGATGAGCTTTTTGACAATCAATCGAAGAACTTCACCAAGGTACAAAATGGAAGTACACTACAGGATAGCGTTTATCGTGAGTTAATTTTATATAATTTTATCACTACTTTAAAAATGTGTTACGCCATAAGAATTTATCACAAAACTAAAGTGTTCATAAGATCTGGCCGTGTTGTGATTTATTAATCTCTTTTTTTTTAAATATTAGTGATCGTATTAATTAACTGTACTAATATTCCGTTTAACAACTCGTAAGCTTGAAACGCTTGTGTTAGGAGTAGTTCACGACAGTAGTCAAACGGCGGATTCGAACCCACGACCTTTTGTGTTCGCGATCCGCGTCCTGCCATTAAGCTACTGTCGCACTGCTTTCTATCATAAAACTAAATTCTATCCTACGAATACCTGCTATACCCATTCCTATCGAGGATAATTCTTGAGACTTTAAAAAAATCTAACATCTTTTGTTTTAAACAATATGTCTTAAATAAGAAGACCAATATTTACTTGGAATCATGTCTATACAAATAAATAAAGCTAAAGTCTGCCGGCTTGTAATAACAGATTTTTACTAAATGCATATGAAAATATATACAGTACTTATAACAAAAAACAATTTTAAAAACGTTTGTTTGTCTGTTTGTACCGGCTAATCTCCGAAACGGCGAGAGCGATTTTGACATGACTTTCGCTGACAGATAGATGATGTTACAAGGAGTACCTTATTATTAAGTTGCCGCGCAAATAGTTAAAACCCATGAAATCTAATAGTAATAAATTCCATGCGGAAAAGCCGTTTATAAATATATATTTATTTATACACGGTAGAGCCATGCTGCAGTTATATAAGTAGTATAGTTGTAGCACGAATGCGTCGGCTCTACCGGGGGTAGGACAACGCTCTCATAGAATATCAGCCTAAAATAGCAGCTTAATACTGCTGTGTTTCGTATGGTGAGTGAAGCGAACCGGAAACCATTTTTACTGGAAACGAGGCATTCCATCTTAGTCCTTACGGGTGACAACGCATCTGCATTTTGATTAGATATAACAAATGAAACTCTAAGTTCGCTAGCCTAGATCACTCCTGGCTTTACTCTCCATCAGTTCGTTCATAGATTACATATATAGAGAGAATGACGCTGCAGTCATATTATGGTTGTAGCACGAATGGGTCGGTTCGACCGGGAAGGACCACGCTCTCACAGAATATCAGCGTAAAATAGTAGCTTAATGCTGCTGTGTTTCATATGGTGAGTACAGAGAACCGGAAACCCTTTCTACAGGAAACGAGGCATTTCATCTTGGTCCTCACGGGTAACAATCATATCTGCATTTTGATTTGTAATCGAGAATAGATGTAGATGTCTATGGGCCGCAGCAACCAGCAGGTGGACTGTGTGCTGTGTGTGCTCACCCTATCCTATTTAAAAAAAGGTCATCACCATCGCCCATGAAAATCGGCAACACCACAGGAACTGCAAGTGCGTTGCCGTCCTTTTAGAAAGGAGTAGATTCTTTTCTTTACAGTCCATTCCCTTTAACCATTAGGGTACTGTCGTTTACCGATGATATGACTACGCAATAATAAAGTTAAAAAATAAAGTTACATCCAATAAACTTCCCACTGCTGGGCACGAGCCTCCTCTCACTTCTAAGAGACACAGACTTCAGCCGTGGTGATTCAGTGGCTTACCACTCGCTGTTAATTTCATATAATAGTAATTAACTTCGAAATCTATATTTCAGATTTCTCTTCACGCAATCATTTGTGACGCCTCATCACCAACCACGAAAGAACTTAGAACCGGTGCGCTGCTGCTTCCAGAAAAAATCATAGGCGGCGTGATAGACATAGTACATAGTCATAAGAATAAGCCTGTCAGCCAGCCTATGAACCAGCCAGCTCCTCAAGGATATCCCCTGCAGTACCCACAGTACCAGCAGTGGAATGGCCAAAACAACTACCAAAACCCTGGACTCTCTTCACAGTACCAAGGACAGTACAGTAATTACGTCCAACAAAACGGTTACCAAGGTCCTAATTACCCACAAAATGGTGGAAGCTTCTCCGGTAATTCTGGTCAAATGTATCCCACCTATCAAGGTTTTAGCAATGTTCAAGGTCAGAACCAAGGACAATACCAATCAAACTACCAACAGCCAAACGGACAGTATCAGCAAACTCAATTCCAAGCACAGCAAGGTACTGGCCAGTACCAGGGGCAACACAATGGCCAGTACTATGGACAGACAACGCAAGTTTCCCAGGCGTCTGGTGCTGGACAGTTCGGAGGTGGAAGTCAAGGTTTTCAAGTACCTGGGGGCAGTCAAGTTAGCGGTGGTGCCCCTGTACCCGCCTGTGTTTGCAAGTCATGGACAAAGCCGCAGTCCGAACTGATGAAAGGCAGTCCTGTAATGGAGAAAATCGATAAATATCAAGATCAACAATGACATATTAACAAGAATTAAGGAGATTTTAATGAAATTTAGAATGTAATGTATCTGATAATAACAATATTTAAAACAAAGTAAAATAATAGGAATAATAAAAGGTTTTACTTTGATAATCCTAATATATATTTTAAGATATAATTATTATACCAAGTTACTAACACTTAGGTCGTAGGTATATATCTACATCTAAAAAATATAAAAAGGATCAGACGTGGTGACTTAATATAGAAATTTATAAGATGCTAACTTAAAAATTATGTGTTCATTTCGAATCATTCTAGAGAACATTTTTTAACTTTCTATACATTTTAAGAATCTTTCACGATTCTTAGAATTTATATTAAAGAATACTATAAATGTGTTATATTATATATAATAGGGTTATATTATTTCATATCGTGTAAAGCTTGTTTCTAAGTTAAAGGGCTTAAAATTAGTTATTTTCCTACGCGGTGGAGTCACTGCATAGAGTTGTAGCACAAATGGGTAGGCCAAACTGGGGTAGGACTATGCTCTCACACAATACCAGAGTAAAATAGATGATTAATGCCAGTGTTTGTATGATGAGTTTGTATGGTGAGAGAACTAGAGATCGTTTTTACTGGGGGCATTCCATTTTTGTCCTCAGGGGTTAAAACACATTTGCATTTTGATTATTAATTGTCGATAAATATATAAGTCAATGGGTTAATTCATCAGCTGAAATGCTGATTTCTCAACCTGATTCTATAAAAAAGTAAAATAAAAATAATTTTCCTTACTTCCAGCGCCTGTACATATTTTATTATTTTTTGTCAAGACATTATTTACTTCTACCTTCAAATGACAGGCGTCTTTTATTATTATTTCTTATTTGATGTATTATTTTCTTGGATTTATTAACAATAATTTTTGCGTTATTATTATTTTAGTAGTACAGTTATAGCACGTATGGGTCGGCTCGATCGGGGAAGGATCACGCTCCCACAGAATAACAGTGTAAAATAGCAGCTTAACGCTGCTGTGTTTCGTATGGTGAGAGTGTAGAGAACCGGAGATCTTTTTTACTGGAAACGAGGCATTCCATCATAGTCCTCACGGGTGATAACGCATCTGCATTTTGATTCGTAATCGAGGATAGATGTAGATGTCTATGGACCACAGCAACCACTTGCCATCGGGTGGACTGTGTGCTCGCTTGTCACCCTTATCCTATTAAAAAAAAGACTTAAAGTTGGCTGCAGATGTCCATGGATTACAGTAGCCATATACCATCAGCGGATTCCGAGCTTTATGAAAAAAAAAATTAGGTTGCGTGCGTGCGTGCGTGCGTGCGCGTGCGCGGGTGCGTGTGCGTGTGCGTGTGCGTGTGTTGCGTGCGTGTGTGCGTGCGTGTGCGCGTGCGCATGTGTGCGTGCGCGTGCGCGTTCGCGTGCGTGTGCGTGCGCGTGTGTTCGTGCGCGTGTGCGCGTGTGTGCGTGCGCGTGCTCGTGTGTGTGCGTGCGCGTGTGTGCGTGCGTGCGTGTCTGCGTCATGTGCGCGTGTGCGCGTGTGCGCGCGTGCGCGCGTGCGTACGTGCGTGTGAGTGTGTGTGTGTGTGTGTGTGCGTGTGCGCGCGCGCGCGCGTGCTTGTGCGGGTGTGTGTGCGCGCGCGCGTGTGTGTGTGTGTGTGTGTGTGTGTGTGAGAGAGAGAGAGAGAGCAAGCATGCGTGTATGCGTGTATGCGTGCTTGTCACTCGTAACGAGGCACTCCATCTTAGTATTAGTCCTCAGGGGTGATAACGCATCTGCATTCTTAATCGAGAACAGATGTAGATGTTTTATTTTTATAGAATAAGTGTGACACACGAGCCCATAGTCTACCTGATGCCATGTGGATGCTGTGGGCCATAGATATTTTACGTTTACCTTCGATTAAGATTCAAAATGAAGACGCGTCGTCACCCCATGAGGACTAAGATGTGCCTCGTTTCCAGTAAATACGGTCTCCGGTTCTTCTACACTTATCATACGAAAAAAATGTATTAGATTACTGATTTATGTTGGTGTTCTGTCAGAGCGTAGTCTTTCCCCGTCGAGCAGACCCATTCGTGCTACAATCATTAGGTATAGCTGCAACATGACTCTACCACGTATAAAAAGCAGAGTTCCGCTGGTTGGCTGTAGGTGTGTCCGGGTGGACTGTTTCTAGAGGTGAACTGGTGGAAGTTTACCTCCAGAAACAGGAAGAAGATATATAAAAAGAAAAAACACAAAACGAGTAGTAAAATTGAAAATGTTGTACAACCAATTTCAATATAAATAAAATGAGAACATCATCAATGTATTCTAAGTCAATGAAATACGCATTATCAAGGATAACTCAGAAACTACTGGTCAGATCTTGATCAAATTTATATGGGAAAATATGAGAAGCACCAGCTTTTAAATAAAGAATCATCAAAATCGGTTCTCGTAGTAAAAAGTCCTGGGGTAACACACATTTAAAAAACATCAGTCGAATTGAGATCCTCCTCATTTTTCTATTACAAAAATGTACGTGCTGCACTAGCAAGGCGGCAAGGTCTTTTGACCTGAATTTGAACTTGAAGCGCTGATTACTTTGTCACTACAGTCGACTCACGTTAATTCAAACATGCGATAATTCGAACCTCTCCATAATTCAAGGTTATCACGAGTTCCCTACAAAATTTCTTTATATTTTGAACTAAATCAATAAATTTTTATGCACTTGGTAATTTGAACTAAAAAATCACTGCCACGTAACGAAACGACCCGTTAATTCGAACTCATCGGCATCAAACACTCGACAATTCAAAGTTACAGAAAGAGAGAGACAGAAAGATTGTAAGTACATTTTGAGACAAGTTCAAACTTGTATCATCGTTTCAACGATACATCAGGACCTTTGGCAGAGGTGTCAGTTAAGGAAGCAAGAACCTCATTCGATGCCTTACAAAGCTTCTGTCTACAAAACGAAAGTGATGAAAAAGCATTTCGGGCACTTTTTACTCTTAAAAAGTTATTGAGCAGTCTGAGCAGCAGCAATGTGCTTTGAAGCAAACCAGTGTTACAGAGATCGAATGTACCTCTAAACGTTTGTCAATGGGTGCGTTCGGCAGAAAAAAGTAGGCTTTAGATAGTTACGGGGATATTGTTTGTAAAGTATTCATATTAAAATTACCAATCATGAGTTTTTAATAGCATGTATATGTTTATTCATGTCATTATATTACTTTTATTGCACAATTGGGTTTGGACCCTGTTAAACAATAACAGTTAATGAATAATAATTCATCAACATTTAATAATTCGAACTTTTATTTATTTTCTCTCAAAAATTTCGAACCATTTCATATTTCAAACATTCGATAATTCGTAATATTTTAAGAGTCCCTCGAATTTCGAATTGACGGGAGTTGGCTGTATTTGTTTTTACAGTTTTGTACTTAGCTACTTTTAATGAATATCTCATAGACCCACGCTGCAGCTCTGTTATGGTTGTAGCACGAATGGGTTGGCTCGATCGGGCCACACTCTTACAGAATACCATACAATACTGCTGTATTTCGTATGGTGAGTGTAGATATCCGTAGGCCCTTCTTTACTGGAAATATTACATTCCTTCTTAGTCCTCACGGGTGACAACGCATCTGTATTTTGATTCGTAGTCGAGGATATATGTAGATGTGTCTATGAGCCACAGCAACCACTTACCATCAGGTGGACTGTGAGCTCGTTTGTCATCCTATCCTATAAATAAAAATATTTTTTTATAGCCTTTATTGCTGATTCTAAACATTTTGTTTTACATAGTATATGATTGTTTTAACTTAATTATAATCTAGCATAACGGTTTTTCAAGATTAGTGATCAGCGTGTCCTGTGAGACATAGGCCTCTTCCAGCTCTTTCCACTCTTCTCTGTTGTTGGATTTTCTAGTCCATATCGTCCCTACAATAATCTTGATATCGTCTGTCCATCTTTTTGCTTGTCTACCTCTTTTTCTTTTGCCATCACGTGGTTGTCATTCAGTTATGATTTGCGTCCATTTTATCCTGCTTTCTCTTGCCATATGGCCTGTCCATCGCCATTTTAACTGTCTAATTTTCTTAATTATGTCTTCCACCTTTGTTGTAGATCTAATATCTTCTGCTCTTTTGCGGTCTTTTAGCGTCACGCCCAACATACTTCTTTCAATTCCCCTTTGTCATGTTCTCAGTTTTAGAAGGTGTTTCTGATTCAACGCCCAGGTTTGGCATCCATATGTAAGACATGGCAAGATACAGGAGTTAAACACTTTAAATAAAAATATTTACATTGCAACAAATATGAATAAAAATAGCATTCACATACAATGACGGCTAGGTTCATTGGACCTATTCAATAGATGAATGCGTTGTTGTTGTGGTTAAAATAAGCATATTTACTTTGATTTTATTGTCTGTTTTGTTTCACGTACCACAATATTTTAGTTTATACGTTCATTACTCTACGTGTTTACATTGCGGCAATTTCATTAATTTGGTTGATATTTCGTGAAAAATGTCTCAGCGTATCAGTGAAGCAAAAATATTGTCATTATTGTAATCACTGCCAGGAGATCAATCGGATAGTGAAGTTGAAGGTGTAGCGTTACCGCCACAAGTTAAAGATAGCGAATCACATATTCCTAAAGCTCCTGATTCAGACAGCAATATACCGTTGACTGCCATTCAACAAAAAACTAGAGGAAGATCGTATCGACTATGACGAGTGCGTGGCATTCGATCATAATTTTATGAAAATACCTCTTATAATAATATGATGACACCAAGTGGAATATTGTGGAAATCCATACTTGAAAATGGCTCGGAGGTAACAGATCAACGAGGAAGTCATAATGTTGTAACTGAACAGTCAGGAACTACCAGATATGCACGGAGGCAAGTTGGAGAGAAATTCATGACAGCCTGGAAACTTTTAATAGACGATAAGAATTCACATAGAATATTGTTCATGAAATATTGTATTGATTC